ATGTGTACCGGCATTTTATGGAATTTAAAATGATTTTAAGTCCATGACACAAATTGCACAATAGGAAATCCAGGCCAGAATGCATTTAACTCATTGTATCACCAGGGACCGGAATTTAGCAGGCCCAGGGGGGAAAAAGTAGATAAAGCCACTTTATAGCTAAATTTGATACCATTAGAAATTGAATAGGATTAAAATCTGTGGTTTATAATTTACCCAGTTGTGCCTTGTTGTCCACACCTCTCCTTTTGCCGGCGTTAGCCCGCTGCACCAAGGGGGCATGTAAGTAAGAGGGAGGGGAAAAAACAAGGGGAGAAACGGCCACAGCTAAGCACGCAGCAACCTCGACGTCTAAGTGGGCGAGTCCACAGCATGTGTGCCCGCACGTCCGAGACAGGGCATAAAAAGGGAAGAAAAGGCAGGGAGGAGACGACTGGACCCAGCTCTGTTTGGGGCGCCGGCTTGCATGCAAGTGAGTCCCCCAGCGCAGGGTGGGGAAAGGCTTTGTTGAAAGATCCGAAGAGCAGAGAATCAGGAGGTGCCACCCAGGTGCAGCTGCATAATAAATCGCACTAATTCCGCCCAAACTTTAAAAAAAACTCCTGTTTAGCTGGAGGGGGTTTCGTTCACGATTCCATGGCCATTCTGCAGAGTACAGAGACAGCAGTCCATGTCCAGCAAACGACACTGCGCGGCAGTGGGAAACTGCTGCGCAATGTTTACTTGCCATGTGTGCGGCCGCGCGGCCGCGCATCTTAGAGGGAACAGTGGATCCTGCAACAGTCATAACTGTGAAAAATGAACATAAGTCACTTTTTTCAGTGCTGTTGTAACTTGTACCTGTACGTAGTTTCTGATACAAATATTGTTTTCTATATTTAAAAATCATAAAACTTATCAATTTTAACATTTCAGACCCAGTAACACAAAATATTTGTAAAGAAAGAATGAACTAGCACTACCTCCATTTTAATTACCTCTTATATAAACACCAAATGTAGGCATGCATTAGAGAGCTAGAAATAATGGAAATTCAACAATTAGGAAATACATGCCTGTGGCAAAGACAACATTTTTGGACACAAGTTTATATTCCACAATAGAAAATTGCGGAAGCTCAATTCTTTCTACTCCAGAAACTGCATTATCTCCACCTCTCCAATAAAATTCTATGTCGTCAGTTGTGTATCCATCTGGAAATAAAGCAGAAATGTTTTAGTATCTTGTTCTCAAAATATATGATAACTTCACTTTTCTTAAAACTTTCATTCTGCCCTAAAGAAGAGTATAAAATTTCCCACTCCTAAACTTTCTATGAATCAAGCATATATTCTCCAATATTATTATTAATAATATGCGTGTATATCTATTCTAAACCATGTTATAGGCTGAGATACTGTTTGAGGAACAGACCAATTTTTCTCCTTGCTTCATGACAACAACTCATGCTGTTTCACATGAAACTAATACATATGTGTTACATGACTATTATAAAAATGTGAAAATTCATTTTGAAAAACTAATTTAAACTGTGCATAATAATGCATATAAATGTAAAGGTATTGATAGTTAAAAAGAGATAAAACTAAATAATTTCACAAAATGAGATAAATGTCGACCATTTCACCATGTATGATAACATCAATTATCCAAACAAGCTTGTGATGCTGTCTTACTGATGCAAACAGTTGAATAAACAATATTATTATAACTATATGTTGCCAACTATACAAATCATGATTGGATGGGATGATTAATCTGTAAGAAATATATTATGGAGTAATACCGTAAAAATGGACAATGATACTGACAATCGTATTGAAGGTATGGATGGCAATAAAGGATGTTTGATCCGGATCATTTGTCAGGTAATGCAGGTGACTATTTTTGCAACAAAATACTTGGGGACCTCCGGATCAGTTCCAGATATAGATAGATCTGAAGACCATTCTGCTTAGGATGATATTTCAATAGTCTTTGCTACATTTTTATACCCTTTAGTAAAATAGTTGAGCCTGTAGTGTAGAAGGCTGGAGATCTCAAAAGAATTGTAATGTAATTCTTTAAGTCTGGAAAAGAAAAACGATGTTTCCAAAACATGGACATGAAAACCAAATTGTTCTCAAATTCTGTCTTTTAACTGAATCATTAGTCTAGCTCAGAGATGTCAAACACGATTTCATTGAAGGCTGCATCAGGTTTGTGTTTCACCTTGGGAAGCTGGGGTGGGAATGGGCAGGGTGGGCGTGGCCATCTTGACATCATTCATGTCAGGGGTGCCTGTGTTGGCCTGGGTGCTCTGCCAATGAAAACGAGCTCCCAAGCTACGTTTTTGGCTGGGACAGCCTCCTGCAATCCTCTGCCAGCGAAAATGGAGTTCAGGGGGGCACATATGGCCCTCGTGAGCTCTGGTTTTGCTGGCAGAGGCACCATGGGCTCGTCCTTCACTGTTTCCAAGGCGGTCCCGTGGGCTAGATCTAAGCACCCTATGGGCCAGATCCAGCCACTGGGCCTTGAGTTTGACACCACTGGTCTAGCTATTAAGGAATCTGAAAAAGGATCAAACTAGTCCCAGAATTGCTGTCTTGCCATACTCATTAACAATGAGACATCTAATACAGTTATCAAGTTTCCAAAATTGTATAACCTATTTACCTTTACTTGAATTTAACCAAGGAAAATTCAGTGTAGATGACATCTAGGATGGATCATTTTTTTTACATACATGCCCTCTATATGGAAAATCATTTACATAAAAACCATGTAATAAAATGGATAATAAAAAATAACCAGAAAAGAATGGATCGATACTTTTTGATTACATTAATGCATTTTGGAGATAAATAGTAAATATCTTATACCTACATATTAGTAATTCACTAGCAGCAAATAATAATAATATGGTTTTTCTTTTCAAGCTTTTAACTGCAAATTTGTCAGTGACTTCATCAAAATCGATCTTTGTATATTCATACTGAATAGGCAGGATATACAGGTTTGTCAATATGTCTTCTTCACTTACAAAAGAACACTTCCCATTAATTTTAACTTTTACATTTAAAACATTCTTTCACATGAGGCCACAGATGTACAATACTTAGGAAAAAGCTTAAACATAAGGATAAGTGCAGTGATCCATTAAAATTCCATTTCACAAAAAAATCCATGTAAAAGATACTATCCATATCTTTGTTTCAATAAAGGTGAATATTTGTATCTCAGGGTTGAAATGAGGGGTCCTTGGTGCTCTCTGAGCTTGTTTTCTTGCAGACCTTTCATTACCCTAACTAGGTAACATTATCAATGCTAGTAAGCAGTGCTGTTTGCTATCAGTTTATATTCTGATGACTTGCCTGTCTGTGTGGGTGGGGGTGGTTTTAGAGGTTCTTTTGTTGGGTTGTTTACTGATGGCTCTTTGACAGTTATCAAGTAAACAATACCCCAATCAAGAAACTGCTAAAGAACCATTTATAAACAGCCCAACCAAAGAATTTCTAAGACCACCTCCACCCATACAAACAGACAAGGTCAGGGATTATTTTTGTTTCTTTGCTATCAGTTCCGGCTACTTTCAAAAATTTCCATTAAAATATCTCTAATAGTCATCATACTTTTCTATTATATTTGATAAAAACCTCTGAAGATTTTCTTCTTTGCAAAAATGATGGAAGTGGCTTGATGATAAGGAACAGTGGCATTATTTGATTCATTGCTTCAGAACAAGATTTAGAAGAGGTATGATATTGATAACTCATATTCAGAGACTTTGGGATTTAATTTCCAGCAGGTTTTACAGCCAGTTATAAATATGGATGACCCAGTGCTTGCCTTATTATTTACAATAAGTCTGCAGGAAATATAAAACTACCGTACTTCTCAACAATTTGTTGGTGTTTGGTAAAGATTTATAAAACCATGACATTGTTAAGTGTTGACTACCTCCTTCTCTCTTTTGTCCTGATCAATAACATGCAGAGTATGATCCATCTTTATTTTGAAATATTCATTTGTTTTCTTAAATGGTTTAACTGTTCTGGAAACTATATTGGTCAATAAATGATATCAGAATAAATTAAAATATACTTTATTTTTCAGAGTATAAGACGCACCTTTTTTCCTCAAAAAAGAGGCTGAAAATCTGGGTGTGTCTTATACTCTGAATACAGCATTTTTTGTCTCCCTAAGCTCCAAAATGGTCGTGCAGAGCCTTATGGAGGCTTTCAGAGAACTCCTGGGAGCTGGGGAGGGCAGAAATGAGCAACAAACGGGCCTTTTTTGTCCCCCCAGACCCCAGCAGCACTCTATAAGCCTCCATAAGGCTATGCATGCATTTTTTTGACAAAACATGGGCCAGTTTTTGTGAAAAATGGGCCATTTTTTGCTCGTTTTTGCCCCCCCCCCCAGGAGCACTCTGCAAGCCCCTCAAGGTTATTCATGCCTTTTTAAAGAAACAGACCCATTTTTGGGAAAAATGGGCCATTTTTTGGAGGTTTGCAGAGTTCAACCCCCTTTTTGGAAAGCCCTTTAACTGATTAATGAGAATTACATTGATCCAGTGCTGTGCCAGCAGAAACAAAGTCTTAGGTGCTTTAGATTGTCAGTGATTTCCTTCTCCAGCATATGGATAAATATACCTGGAAACATCTACCTACCTACCTACCTACCTCCCTCCCTCCCTACCTACCTACCTACCTCCCTACCTCCCTACCTACCTTCTCTCTCTCTCTCTCTCTCTCTCTCTCTCTCTCTCTCTCTCT